CTCTGCCCTCCCCTCCAGGGGGTCCCCCCCCCTCTCCGATTGAAGGAGAGAGCGGGTCACCCTGAAGAGGGCGGCAGGGCGGTTATCTGATGACGCGATGAGTGAGGCATAGTAGTTAGTCCTAGCCTCCCTCAGCGTCACTAGGTAAGATCTAAGATGTATCTTTACCTGTGTTCGAGTGGATTCGGTTGGGCTGGCCCTCCAACTGCTCTCCAGGCGTCTTTTCCGACGTTTCATCTCTCTCAGCCCCTCGGTAAACCAAGGAGATGGTCGAGATCCACGTCGGGTCAGAGGCCGCAAAGGCACGACTCGATCCAATGCTGCGGCGGCAGTTGTCTCCCAAGCCGCCGCCTGATTTTCCGCCGAGTCGTGGACCAGATCCTCCGGATATGGCCCAAGCTCCGTCAGGAACCTCTCGGGGTCCATCAGTCGCCTGGGACGGAACCATCTGGGCGGTTCCGTCTCCCTGCGGCGAGGGGAGGGGGGTCATCAAGTTTTGGGGGGGGGTCATCAAGTTTTTGACACCTTGCTAGGCGACTGGTGATACTCGGATGTTGCCATATCCTAAAAGTGGTACAGTGGGTGAAAAGGTTGAAAAGACCTGATGTAAACAGTTTGCTACAGTCACATTTTACAGCACTACAGCAGCTTTTTCCAAGCTGGCATTTTCCAAATTGATCCCCTTGGCACAGGCAGTTTTTAGGACCCCCAGAGTGGCCTATGTTACACCAGGGCTTTTCAACCTTTTCACCCACTGTACCACTTTTAGGATATGGCAACATCCGAGTATCACCACTGTGACCGTCATAAATATGAATCAGTTGCCAAGCATCTGAATGTAAATCACATGACCCTGAAGATGCTGCAACATTCCAGCTGATCAGCGCTTCTTCTGGGCTCAGCAGAAGCACCAGGATCAGTGCCGCTTTCCAACTGATCGGCGCTTCTTCAGGGCTCAGCAGAAGCACCAGGATCAGCGCCGAGCTCCAGCTGGAGCCTGGCACTGATCCTGGCGCTTCCGCTGAGCCCTGACAGCCCTGCAGCTCCAGCCATCTCTCGCTCAGGCTTGTGCGGTGCTGCCACCGGTTCAGCTCATTCCCCTCCCCCGCTACCACTTTTCTAGGACGGTCGCGTATCACCTGCCAGGTGCCAATGTACCACAGGTGGTACCCATACCACTGGTTGAAAAGCCCTGGTTTACACCATTCAGGATGAAACCTAACAATTCTCCCATTTCAGTGGCCTTCCTGACTGGCAAACAACTGGTAGTGACATCATCATATACATTTGACAGGTTTCAGGTGGTCTAGAACTGCCAGCCCTTTTGATGCGCAAGTGGCTTTTACCAGGTCCTAAAGTATAGTTACGGAGTAAAAGCACGGAGAAAAGCTGCTACTCACCAATGGAAGGGCTCGTTTTCTCCATTTTGTTCCTACTCTTCTTGCCTTTGCCCTTGGGTTGAGGCAAATCGTCTGGGATGGCTATGTGGGGGGGATGCCGGTCCCCAGGCCCAAACAGAGCAGGCTCTTGCTCAGTCTGATCAGCTCTGCCTTCACCTCTCCGGTTCTTCCCCTCAATGCTCTTCTCTTTGTCTGCCTTAGAGCCACTGCAACTCCATCCCTGGCTCTGTCGCAGCCCTCGGGTACCATCGCCTTGCTCTGCATTGCTGCTGCCTCTTGGGGCTTCAGAAAGGTTGCCCTTGGAGGGATTCTTCTGCACCATCCCCTTGATCTCATTGGAAGAGAAAGCTTCCCCCTTCTTTGCTGGGCAGCCCTGCCGCTTACCCTTCCTCTGCTTTCCAGTGATGGGCGCTTGTTCTAGCACTTCCATTCCCCTGCCCAGCGCCGCCTCCTTGGATTCATGGTTAGCTCCAATCTCTTGGGGAGAGTCTGTTGGCTTGGGCGACTGTACCCAGATCATGCGAGAGAGATTGGGCACAGCGTTCAGCCTTTTCACCACGCCGTTTTCGGAGGCCGGCGGCGGTACGACCTCTCCAGGGCTTTCAGCCCATCGAGGACCCACCTCATTTCTCAGTAACGAATGATTATGTGGCGCATTCAGACTAAGTGGAGACAGGTCAAGGTCAATCTCTTGCAGCTCAGAGGAGCCGTTGAGGTGGGAGAGAAGGTTCTTCTGTTCCAGCACGGCAGCCTTTTTGGGGAAGTCATTCACATCTAAGTTGAGATCGTAGACGCTGAAGCTGGCGCGGATGGAATCTTTGATTGTGTTCTTGATCTCCTGTAGTCGGCTGCTCAGAAAGCTGTTCACTCGCTCTAGTTCTAGCTGGGGCCACTCCAGGAGCTTTTCTTCAGGCAGCTCCTGATCTTGACCTGTAGGCGGGCTTCGATCCACACGCTTCTGAGCCTCAGCCTCTAGCTGGGCCTTTTCCTTCTCCTGCAAGACCAGAATGAGCTGTATAAGTTCACCAACAGCTTCAGCAAATCAAACAGCAACTGAAAGAGGAGCTCTGTGGTGGGATGGAGGACAGTAATCAGTCCCAGGCTAATGAATTGGCCTCTGCTTTTCAGCCTGTCACGCTCGATTCTGACACGGCTAGGCAAGCACTGCCACAAAACCACAGAGCATCCTAGGGAATTGACCCTGGAAACTAATAAGATGGCATATACAAAGTCTGTGCTATAGTAACAAACCTTAGGGAAGAGACGCATTGCCGGCAATTCCCCACAGCGATTTCCCACAGCAATTTTCCTCTGTATACAAGTCTCAAGACTGCTACATCCCTAGCTCTAAGCTCAGCTCATGGCAGTGCAACATGCAGGAAAGAATGAAGGATGTGAGCAGAAAAACAAATATAAACTTTCAAGCTCCCTGACCTAGTTCAAGGTGTAAATAGCTGAAGTGTTTCTTTAGTTAACCCTAGGAAAAAAAACAACCTCAACTCATTCTAACTTCTGGTTTATTTATATTTTACAGGGGGCAGATCAGATCCTGTAGCAAGAGCGCGAACTTTCTATCTTTCTATTGGAAAGTGACAGTAAAGGAAAGTTATTCTATCTTCCATGCAAAGGGAGCAGGGAAATATTTTGCGAGCTTCATGCCAGTTGCCTCTAGAGCTGTTCTTTCACATTTACCCTTTCAGGCTGGCAGGGCTCAGGAAGAACATAATAGTCTGATTTGGTGTAATGCGCCTTCATATTTTCAGCCTCAAAAATACCCAGACGGAGAAAAGGGCTTTTGGATTAATCCCTAAGGAATCTACAATGCTATTGGGAGATTGACACACATATTTAATAAGACTCCTGCTACCAAACTCAGAGTAGGCCAGTGGTGGCGAACCTTTTAGAGACCGAGTGCCCAAACTGCAACCCAAAACCCACTTATGCATCGCCGGGTGCCGGATGGGCGTGGCCACTGAGTGGGCGTGGCCACCAAGCTGTCGGCTCGTGCTCGCTCACTTGCTCGCTGTCCGCTCCGACTCGTGCTCGCTCTCAAGCTGTCTGCAGCAAATGCTGCTTCCGCAGAAAGTTGCTCCTTTTATAGCCTCTCGCTTATTCCCAGATTGCGCATGCGCGGAGAGGAGGAGGAGGGAGCAGCTCGGCCCAGCAATGGCTCGCGTGCCACCAGAGGTGACTCCGCGTGCTGCCTGTGGCACGCGTGCCATAGGTTCGCCACCACGGGAGTAGACCATATAGTATTTTCAAGTCTACTTTTTCTGCAGAATTTGAAAAAAAAGGGATTGGCAATCCATTTATAAGTTAAAATGTTAAGAGCTAATTATGTCACACATTTTTGGAATTTATGTCAATTATGAAAATACATCCAGACTTCGGAGGACTATAAATGTATTATATACAGCGACATCTCAGTACTTGACTGCTTCAAAACTTGACGAATTTGGTTCTCGACTCATTTTGATGTGAAAATGTTCCAGTACTCGGCCTTTGTTTACGCACTGCTATAGGAAGAGGGGGACAGATAAGGGGAATGGACAGGAAGTTCCCATGCTGGGAAGGTTGCTGCAAAGAAGGAGGACAGCCACAGAGGGTGGACAGGAAGTTGGCCCTGCTGGGAAGATCATTGATATAGGAAAAGGGACTGTAGGAGATGACCAGGCTGAAACCGAAGGAGGGGTCAAAAGCGTCATAAGTTATGAATCCCTGTGCACCTGCAAGAGATCTAAGTCCAGCCCATAGAACAGTGATGGCGAACCTTTTAGAGACCGAGTGCCCAAACTTCAACCCAAAACCCACTTATGTATTGCCGGGCGCTGGGTGGGCGTGGCTAAAGGGGTCATGGCAGATGTGTGGGCGTGGCCAGGGTGGGCACGGCCAGCTGGATGTTGCTCCTGGGGAGGGACGCCTGTGGGGGCCGGGCAGGGTTGGGGGAGATCCAGGGGTCTCTGGCGGGTGGGGCGATGGGCAGGAGGCTAGTTCTGCAGGGTGGGGGTGCCATGTCAAAGGGCAAGGCGAGGCAGGGGCCGGGGCGGCAGCTGCCTGACACCATCGGCCCCTGCACACAAAGGCCAGCAAGCACATGGGTGCTGGGATGCATCCGGCCACGTGGGACCTCGCTGAGTTAGCAGGCGGCTGGTTGAAGAGGACGGTTGCCATCTCCGGGGCATGGTGCGCGTGCCCACAGAGAGGGCTCCGAGTGCCACCTCTGGCACGCGTGCCATAGGTTCGCCACCACTGCCATAGAATCAAGTTCATGCGAAGTATTAGTACTGCTTTATAAAACCCTTGTAAGACCACACCTGGAATACTGTAGCCAATTTTGGTCACCATATCACAAAAAAGATGTAGAGAGTTTGGAAAAAATCAGAAAAGAGCAACTAAGACGACCAAAGGCCTGGAGACTAAAACATACAAAGAACGGCTACGGGACCTGGGTTTGGCTAGTCTAAAGAAAAGAAGAAATAGGGGAGACATGATAGCAGTGTTCCAGTATCTGAGGGGCTGCCACAGGGCAGAGGAGGCCAGGTTGTTCACCAAAGCACCAGAGGGAAGGACAAGAACCAATGGTTGGAAACTGATCAAAGAGAGAAGCAACCTGGAATTAAGGAGAAACTTCCTGACAGTGAGGACAATCAACCACTGGAACAGCTTACCCCCAGAAATTGTGGGCACTCCATCACTGGAGATTTTTAAGAGGAGACTGGACTTTCACCTGTCTGAGATGGTGTAGGTCCTCCTGCTTGAGCAGGGGGCTGGACTAGAAGACCTCCAAGGTCCCTTCCAGCTCTATTCTATTCTAGCTCAGACTTTTGTAGAGAGCTTAAGCTTGCAATAAATCTTTATAATCATTTGAACTGCCTGAATCTCCTGATTTCCCTGACACATGACAGGATAGAAAGAAACATCTTCCTGGCCAAAACAAAGGATTACCGTCACACTTCCCATAACCAATTAACGGCGAGTACTGAGGTACCACTGTATTTCATTTCATCAAACCACTTATCTGTCCATACACTCAGATTCAGAGACTTTTGAGGCAGTTCTTGCCCAAACCTACCCTTATTTGATATTTAGATTTCAGCAAGGCCATAAAGAGTTAGCTCTTTCCCCAGGTGCTGGGGTAGGATGAAATGGACGTTTGTGGAAGGTTTTCTTAAGAGGCATTTTGTTTTTTGTTTCTACAAAAGCTTTAATTACTTTTTGGCTTTATTACTGTTGAGAGCTGCCTAGAGTTTTGTTCTAAGAGAGGCAACCATACAAATCTTTTAAATAAGTAAACAGCCATCTATTATGTAGCCTTCTTTTTTCCTTACACCACTTTGCTAGGTCTAGGATGCTCATTTTTACCCACTCCTCACATGCGCACAAGCCCACCTTCTTCTTCTGCTTGTGGCGCGCACGCTTGGCAGCCTTAGCACTGTTCAGAGGCTTTGGCTCAGTGCTGTTAATGTAATCCAGCAGCTCATCTACGTCCCGGTGGTCTACAGCTGGTTCTCCCGAGCTACTGCTATGCCCCAGCTTTTGAGGAAGTTCCTCTTTCCTCTTGGTCAGCCTGGAGCGCAGCTTTTCCCGGATCTCAGCATAGTTCCGACTGGTTGGAGCAGCTGGAGGCTGTGGACAGAGTTGACTGTTGGTTGTGTATATAAAACATTGAGTTGCCACCCCAACATTATTCCCAAGTGATACTACTCCCATCTTTCCTGCTCTCCCCTTCCTTGACCCAAGCAAGTCTCACCCATCTAAGCCAGCATTTCTCAACTTTGACCATTTTAAGGTGCGTGGATTGGAGAATTCTGGGAATCGATGTCCAGGCATCTTAAAGTCGCCACGGTTGAGAAAAACTCGCCGATCTAAAGCATTTACCCTCCTTTTTGAAGAAATCCCAGCTGAAACACTGAACGCAAAATATAACGGGATTCAAAACTTGGAACAAAAACACCAGTCCGGATGGCGTAAAGTCGGCTTGAGGAAGGCCAGCACTAGAATGTGAAAGGGGAGTGCAGTGCCTCCATTGCCAGAAAGGTGTCCTTCCAAGCTTCCCCTGAAGTCTAAAAGGATAGATTAGGGATGGCTGCTGGCAGGGCTTTCACTTACCGCGTTGTGGCCAAAGAACTCACAGTAGCAGCAGTCACAGAATTTCCCATCTTTCTGGGTAGTGGAGGATGAGGTGCAGGAGCTACGCTCAGAGCTGCTGTCCTCATCCTCCCCAAGACCCTCGTCTGCCTCACAGGACTGTGGTGCATGACAGCTTGTACCGTTTGGGAACTTATGACCCTTGCAGGCAGGGTCCCTGTGGGAGAAAGAGGGGGAAAAGGAGGTAAGAAAATGCACACTGGATTCTCAACTTCCAGTGGACATGCTAGATTAATGCCTAACGTCTGGAATGAGTTGAATGAATGCCAGCATATTAAAGCCCCATCCAGGTAAAATAGAAATACTGTCAGTAGAAGATTGGTCTGACTATGACAGAAAACATGTTTGAAAAACAAGGTTGCACTTCCTCTAAAAGAGCAAATCTTTTGAGCCACAGATTCTCTCCCAGACCAACCTACCTCACAGGGAAAAATAGGAGAAAAGAATGCTATATATGCCATCTTGAGCTAATTTGTAAATCTTATACTCACCGAGGTTGAGAAACACTAAGTGATATGTCATGATAGGAAAAACCCAAGTCAGCCCTCATCCATGAGTGACTTTAGGCTAATCCTGCTCTCTCTCAGCCCCGCTTACCTTATAAGGCTGTTTCAGTGGGGAAAAATTGGAGGACAGTGAGGTGCCTACCACCTTAAGCTCCTGGAGGAAAGGTGGGATACGAATCCAATAAAATAAATGCTTAATGGACATTTGCCCTCACGTCCACCTGCTTACATAGAGTAGGGGGCTGGGAAAAGGTATTTCAATATTTGGAGTTCCCTCCCTGCCAAAACTTTTGGTTTTCAGATCCTAGGCCTAGTTCAACCCAAACAGTGCAGAACCTGCTTCAAGCTTTGTCACCAGTTCTGATTGTCACACTTGAACATGATTCAGATACATTCAAACAGGTTCAAAGAAGGGAAAGAAAAGTAGTCAGGGGCACAAAATTACATCCTACAATAAATAAATGACTTATGTTTAATTGTTGTGGAGAAATACAATCCTATCATCAAATGCATGGATGTGCTTATGTATAATAAAGCCCAAACATACTCTCCCTCATCTACAGTGTAAGAAGACATTGCTGCAGGAATAAAGATTTCATTTATACATAAGTGTAAGAAGACTTTGCTGCAGGAATAAAGATTTCATTTATACATAAGAATAAATTCTTAATAGTACGAGTGGTTCAATGATGGAGTCATGACCTAAAGAGACAGCTGTTTCTCAGTCAAGGTAAAGTCTGAAACAATTTAAAATGGATTCCTGCTTCAAGAAAAATTGGTTTGAATGGCCTAAATGAGCCACTGCCTGGAATTTATAATGTTTCACTCTCTACTGTTATTCCTTCTGTTGTCAGTAGCTGTAATCCACCACTGTTCTTGTGTGTGTGTGTTTTCAATGAAGTTTTATAAAATTGTGAATTACCTGGAATATTTGTATGGAAAGATACAATGCAGATACCTCTAATGACCTCCCTTCCCCCCTATTCCATTCCAAAAGATAAGGATATACAAAAGTACAATTTTTGTCCTGGAATGTGCCAATCCAACCATTCCAGGATGGCTTGACATTCTGGTTTTTTACTCAGACACTACAAATTGCTTCCTGTTCTGGAATAATAATTTCCAGTTCTGGTACAAATAAAATCCTCTCCAGTTCTACTACAAATAAAACAACATATAGATATATCTAGAATTTCTTTGAGTATTTGGGACAGGATGAGTATGTTGAAGAACATTTTAAATTCTAAAGGTGACTTCTATTTTAAGAAGTTTTTACTCCTATTTTTACTCCTTCCCTTGTTTTATGTGAATTTATACAGTATACTATTAAATTATATTTTGAGAAGCAGAATTTCCATAAATTATATGGAAGGGACCCTTATTCCATAAATTATATTTGCCTGTTGAGAAAGGGATGTTGGGATTTAATTTACCCATTTTCAGACTTATCACTGAGCATTTATTTTAGCTTCAGTTACTCCTTGAAACAAGGTTTTTCAAAATTTAACTCTTCTTTAGGCTCAGTTGAAAAGTTATTATTAAAGCTACCAAAATCTTCAAAAATATTGGGATCTTTCTCAAGGTAAGTTTATGCTGCAAGAAATATATGGAAAAGTTCAACTCTAAGATCAATTAAGATCAACTCTAATTAAGAATAATGGGAGACATATTCAGTTCCTTAAAACATGATTACCTTAGACCAAAGTAGCTCTGTTAAAGGAGTTTTAAAACTTTATAAAACTTAAGAATTTGATTTATTTCAGAATTCTCCTTGATAGCTTTGAATCATTTACTGAATCATTTATTATTTGGACTTGAAATACCACTGCTTCTGAAAGTCTGCATTTAATAAAGAACTTGGAAGAATTATCTGATGTTCCCAAATGAGTAAGAGGGCAATAATATTTATATGATCTTTTGATCTGAATGTCCTGTTCTAGCAAATGACAGATTGTTTTTAAAACTGAAAAATGTGTCTTCTGATAAAAATGTGGTTAATACAACAAGAAAAAAAATACTCTTTCTTCTACAGGAATACTGCATCCCAAAGCATATTCAGCAATGGTTTGTTATGGTTGTCTTGCTGTTTCTTATGGTGGATTACAGTTAGAATATGGAATATTAATTCATTACAATTTTGGCTTATTCTATTCTATTTCTTGCCATAGTAAAGGTCAAAAATCACAGAACTGTCAAATTGCCTTAGGTCAACTGCTGCTTCTGTAATAAAAATTATTTTAATCGTAATTTTTGTTGTGTTTTTTTGTATTGCTGTTGTGTCAGTTGTTATGCACCCAGAATTATTTAAGATGGGTAGCCATATAAATTGTCTAAATAAAGAAATACTCACACTCGTTTTTATATCTCCCATAGTCAACATTTATCAAGGCATCAAAAATTGTAATTCCTTTATACACAGGGATTTATCAACACTGAAATTATACAATGCTGGAAAGATAAAGGTACTCCTGGTTAGTAGAGTAGACTCTTGATATATGTGTTTGTCAATAATGTGAATTATTCTTTTGTTGACAGTGGGGGCAAGGCAGAGGACTTTTGATTAAAGTAGTCTAATTGTCTGGAGTTTTTTGTTTCATGGTACAAAGTATTTTTTACCATTATTTTTCACTTTTTACTTTTGTCACTAAGAGTTAAAAGCAATAAAAGCAGTAAGCAATGCTGTATTCTTATTTAACTTCTGTTACATATCCTTCCATATGGCAACATTAACGCATAATGAAACATATTAGGATTTAGTCATCAATGGAACAAATATACATAAAATGGAGTTGGCTAGAGCTAGGATTTTGATTTAAGAGTTGATTTAAGACAATAGCTTGACAGGAGTTCTTCAACACCCCTCTTTGGTAGCCAGAAATAACATAGGAGGAGAAGATCAGATTATCAAATACATATAAAACCGTACTTGAAAAGGAGACTAATGCTCTGCCTACTAACTAGACCATTGGTTTGCCTGATGTTTTAAGGATTAATTTACACCAAGTAGATATGATGTTCTGTATGATGTTATTCTCAATCTAAAATCAGATATTCCAAAAGTATGTAGCCAATGAGAGCTATGATTTTTAACACATCTGGCAAGACCAGCAAGCAAACTATGCAGGGAAATGCAACAAGAATCCTGATTAATAATACTGGGAATAAACTGCAGTCAGAATTCCACTTACCTGTTGGTGCTAGGTAGCTGATGAGGTGCGGTAGGAGGACCCAAGGAGCCACTGCAGTGCCCGTTGCAGGGATGGGTGCAGCCTACAGGAGGTGGAATCTTCAGGAGTGGCACATTGGCAGTGGGTAAGTGTGGGCTCTTACAAGATCCAGTAGGAGGGGACTCTGCTCCTGGTTTAGGGGCCGGTGAATGTGGACTAAGGGCTGGTGTAGGAAATGGGGCCGCCTGCGGTGAAGAGCTCAAGTGAACATGAGGAGGCGAGCTGTAGGGCCCAGTGTGGGCAGGCATCTGCTTTGCAGGAAGGAGTGCCGGTGGCTGTGAGGGGAGGCCTGTGGGGCTGTTGGGTGGAGCAGTGAGGTCCACATGCCGGTGGTGCTCCGAGGAGTGGAAGGCCTCTCCTGCAGCCAGATGGGAACAAGGTAATGTTAGGACTAATCCTTCCAGCAGAAATATCCATGAATTATGGAAAGGATAAAAATATCCTGAGTCACTAAGCTCATACATCAAATACACCCCACCATATACTACTGTTTCCTTCTGTAATATATCAAAGGGTCTAAGGCTACATATCTAGACACCACAGTAAAATCCAACCCAACACTGTGTTCAACTTGGCATTTCCACAAGTGACATTTCTCCCAGAGCATTTTAGAAAGTCCAACCCAATACAGGACATAAAGGATGCTTTAAGTTCTAAGCCCAGTCAATAACCCACACAGATGGGTAAAGAAGTCAACCAGGGCTTGCTTGGATCTGTCACACAAAAGCCCCAAATTCAACCAAAAGAAAAAGGCTCTCTCTAGTCCAGGAGGAAGAAAGAGCCTTCAATTGGGAGCCCAACAATATAGTGGTGTTTTTTGCCCTGCCAATTTGGTCTGTTGGCCTTCCCTTGGCCCTGCATATACAGACCTGGCGGGGTGGGTCTCCGACACATGCTCTTGAACTGCTTGGGAAGCGTTTTGCAGAAGTCGAGTGAGGTAGGCAGAGGAGAGTCTGGGGTGCCGCTGGGAGCTGGGGTGAGCGCGTGGCTGTAAGGACAGGCTTTGAGCCCACCTCCTACAGCAGGGGCCTGGTTGACACACTCCGGAGGAAGGCCGGGGTGCTTGTCACCTGAAACGGAGTCAGAAATGGAGCTGGCTGCTCTCCAGGCCCCTAGCTCACCTCCCCACTTGTGGAATCTTTTCCTGGTCCAAGATCATAGAGGTCTCTGGAGACAAACCTAGTAAGCAGAACTTTCCTATGAGCATTACTTGGCCCAAGAGAAGACACCTTACTTTTCCTGGACCAGCAGATTTAAACGCTTTCTTAATATAGTTGTACAATATCCATCCCCGGAACTGACAAAAGCCTCCATGAAGAAGCTATGAGGAAAATTCCACTACCAAAAGGGAGAAAACAAGCACTAGTCCAGGGCCAACATGAACTCACCTGGTACAACAGGTGTTCCCCCAAGGGAGCTCCCTTGAGCTGCCCCATTTGCATGCTGGGAGTTCCAGAGTCCCGAGAGTTTGTGCGCGGACAGGAAGGAGCTAGGGTCCCAGTCTCCCGAGTTCCCGTGGCACGAGGATGATGATGATGAAGACGAAGAGGAGTGGGAGCCTGCCCCGCAGGATTGTGACTTACAGGCTGTATGTGACAGTGAGACCTGGGAAGAGAGTTGATGGCTAAGTAGCCACTCATTCCAATTTATCACCTTTGTCTGGGAAAGTAAGCTGCTGACTAATGTATGTGGGAATGTAACATTGGACCAATGTTTTTTTTCCTCCTCAGTAGCATCCTTTAGAGCAATAGCACAAAAGAGTAAAATTGCAGGCTCTTTGGGGTGAGGATAGATAGACCTGTCTAGTCTTGCCTTTAACTGTATTTCCTTTCTTACTACCAAAAAAGAAACAGTGACCAAAAAGAAGACCCAAAGCCTCTAACTGCTCAAAAAGCATCTAACAATGTCACAGCTGGCAACTCTCACAACCTTGCCCCAAAGCAATTAGAATTGTGTTCATCAAGTTTGAGAATGCCAAAATCCAGAGTAAGCTTTGATACAGATATTAATTACCCTTTGCTACCCAATGGCATCTGATTGGAGTGAGTCACGGGGCCTTCAAACATTTCTCTACAGTTAAATGCTTACCGCCAGAGCCTGTTCCTGGACTGCTCTTCTTTCTTCCTCTTCTACACTCTGCCTACAGCTTTGGCAGATCCACAGGGGCATCTCTCCCAGAAGGTTCTGCACCAATGTTGGTACAAAGTCTGGGGGCAGCCGCTCACCTGGGGATACCAGCCCATTATGGGATGGCCCTCCCCAGTCTTTGCGCTCCCGATGGCAGAGCAAGCAGCATGTCTGCACCGACTGGTTGGAAGTAGGCAGCACCTGCAGCAGAACAACAAAAACATACTCAGGGCACATTGCTCAGAGGAAGCATCCAGACAGACATTTTTTCTCAAGGTACATAACTACGGTGCCTTGCTGAAGCGCTACGTGATTTGCAAAATGCATTGGTCTAAGAAGTGATCTGCCGCAAAACCCTGAGGCAGTTATGTCTTCGAAAAGTGTGATTGTTTCAAAGGCTTATTTGGATTGTCCGCACACAAGCATAGATTGAACAAGCTCTGGATCTGCTGCTAAATTAAAGAGACTGGGCAAGCAGACAACCTATGAAACCTTTGAAGAAGTTATGCTGAGTCTTCTGGAGCAGGGGTCTCCAATGTTGGCAACTTTAAGATTTATGGACTTCAACTCCCAGAATTCCCCAGCTACCATGTCTGGCTGAAGAATTCTGGGAGTTGAAGTCCACAAGTCTTAAAGTTGCCAAAGTTGCAGACCCCTGTTTTGGAGGATGCAACTACTTCAATGCTTCAAGGACCAACACATACCAATACATTTTGTAAAGTATCCCTTCAAATGCCTTTCAATTTCTGTCTCAGCCTAGTATGCTGCCCCCCCCACCACCACATACACATATTTTCAGGGCTATGTCAAGGATTCTTGGGCTCAGTCTATTCTTTATTTTTTTTAATATTCAATTTATATAGCCACCGCGCTCAAATAAGTGAATCTGACCCTTTACTTGATATTTAGTGTGAGTGAAGATGGAAGAACAGTTGCAACACACAAGAAAGAGAGATCTTCTCCTTGCTGTTCCTTTCCTTCCTCCCATACCACAAGATCCAGCCTTCAACTCCCTGCCTGGCCCCGGGGTGGAAGCTTGGCAATAAATTGGACAAGTTGTGAAGAAAGGGCAACAAGCATGAAGCAGGCTGCACTGCCTCCTACTAAGCAAAAAACCTGGGACAATAGGCTGTGCACTGAATGGCTTTTGGAAAGCAGATGGCCTGTCTCCGTCCCAGGTGACTCAAAGCACAAAGAATGCATTAGCGAGAGACAGAAGGCATGCTGGTCTGTGCTTCTCACAACATCTTTAGGAACAGGTGTGCTCAGGCACTGAGATGGCCAATCAAAGTGACGAGGGAAAAATTTGGTATTGTAGCAAAATCTGGTAACATCAGATCATACATGGTCAATCAATCACACCCGCACAATAGAAAAAAAGCGAAATAGCCAAACAAATAAATAAATCTACTTCTACTGATTTGCCAGAAGGCAAGTAATTTTTTCAGCCCAAGCTGTCCATTATTCACCCAAGATAACCTAACTTATGAGGGACATAAACTAGCCAAGTTTCGGAGTACTGTCATTAAGAACGCTCGAATTATAGACATTAAAAATGTTGCACTAATGGCAGCTGTAAACTTCTTTTGTAGTCAACTGAAATATTTCTCAGGCTAATTTAAGCTGGCTTTTCTCAGGTAGGCTAAATTTTCCACAATTCCCAGCAGATCCAACACATCTGGAGAACACCTGATTGCCTCATCTATTAGATGAAGGCTCATCTATTAAATATTGAAGGCTACTTTGATGAAAACCAATACCCTATATTTACCTGAACTTAAGATAATGTCCCACATCATTAAAAAGAAAAAGGAGAAAAGAGAGATCTACCTCCATTATTGTATTTCTCAGAGATAATTATTTTTCCATTTTAAAGATACGTTGCAGCAAAAATCCTTTAATATAATATTTATTCCAAAAGTTTTAAAACCAGTCTGGCTTACAGATCTTCTAATAATAATAATAATACCACTTCTCATGCTTCACCGATGAGTAAAAATAAAGCATTAGTTATATAATACAAAGCAGTATTGCCTAGAGAAAAAAAAGGCATAGGTCCTCATAAATCCTTATAGATTTTGCAAAGTTTTAGCTTTCCAGTACAATGCCATCTCATGTCTTGCTCTCTTGTCATTATTTTTAACGATAGCTATATGGAACCCTTTTCTCTGGTTAAATGAGGTAAATGTCTATTCAGAGCATTTCTACTCACTTTTAGTGAGTTTTCTATTGATTAAAGAATTGGGACCTTGGGAAAACTCTTTCATCTTTATTTATTAATTAAATTATTAACTTGATTATTGTTCCTCTATTAGGCCTCAAATGAAGCCAAGTATCACCAACTGAACAGTTGCTATAGGTCTGATTTGTCTGTTTATCACAGGTCTGATTCAAGTATTCCCTGTGTACTTGTATTACTGTACCAGATTTTATCTGAAGACATATACATGCTGCTACATTCACATATTATATGTCAGAATACTAACTCTGAAGCTTTCTGCTGAAAATAGCAGAGAGCCACTGAAATGGGCTAAAATGTGTTTATATATAGGCAGCCTAGACTATGTACAGTCATGCTTCAAAATCATAGTTGCTGTTCTTTTTCCACGCACGCAGCTTGAATTGAGCATTCCCCTATCTTTGCAATCCTTCAGGCAGACTAATCAGCATATCCAGTTCTGACTCAGTACTCTATTTTGCCTCTTCCTAGTTCAAACAGGCTGTCTAATTTTAAAGAAAACATTCTTAAGCACAGAAATGACAATCTGTAACAGCCTCATTTGTAGATGCTGATGCTGATATAATTTTAAAAAGCTATAAAAGTTAATGAAGGAAGTGATAAGTGATGTCACAGGGATCAACCAATCAGAGGCAAGCCTCTGTAGAAAGAGGAAATGTTATTCTCCCCAATGAGAGATTCTGAAGGGGAATTTCCATGCACGTATAAAACATTAATGATATAGTACAGTAGTATAAGACCATCCCTTGCGCTTTGAAGGAGAAAGTAAAATAATCTGGACCCAGCCCCTCCTCCCATCCACACACACCATACTAGTCATGCATGCAAAGGTTATCTAGGTTTTATCAAGTCAATCGTCTAAATTCCTCCACATAAGGGGAATCTGGGCTAATTGAGATGCCCGCTATATAGAAGAGTTCTGCACACATATGTATACATGACTTTTCATAATTTTTTTTTTAATTTCCAAAGTTAAAATACAGAATTCAAAAAAAACAGAAAAAAGAAAATAAAGAAGGCAAAAAGAAAGACGAAGAAAAAAAGTGTATAAAACAAAATATTAAACATGCACATAAAATGTCCCCCCTGGTAGAATACTGATAAATATATTTCAGCAACAATAGTTCTCATCCCCCTGCAAAACAGGCCCACAGTTTATGAACTTCTACATCTATAGTTGCAAAATGGCTATACATTATAAAATATCACAAATATCGAAATCTATTGTCAATCAAGCAATTTGACCTACCATCTATCTATTATTTTTTAAAAAAAACTAGTTAACAAGTACTCCCAACAAAGCTAAACTTCAAAGCTCTCTGTTAACAATCTAGTTTTGTATCTAACTCACAGAAAGTCCACAATCAGCCTCTAGTCTCTCATAAATATTGCAACCATTGTCTCTGATCCATCCAGGATCAAATACCATTGATTGATTCTTGGTAATAAAAACAACTCTTTCCAGTTTATCATATTTACTTTTCTTTAAAATTATACATGGAATCTTTCCTAACAGCTGCTTCTCACTCCCCCAAAAGTAGGCCTCCATTGAAGATATCTCCATAGCGCTTGTTCAGTAAATTTTCCTGCAAATGGGAACACCATGTCTTTTGACTGCTGTCTTCTGGTTATACATAATGGCTCTATTGCACCACTCCATCAACTTTCCTAAGACATTCCTGTTTGTTAATGCCCCCTTCAGCTTCCTCTAGCACAGGGGTGTCAAAGTGCCGGCCCGCGGGCCAGATGCATCATAGCAAAACCGCGCCCACCCCATTGCCGGCAATGGAAAAAAAGTCGTGATACGTTGCCACACATCACGTGACGTTGCGAGTTTGACACTCCTGCTCTAGCAAATCTCCAATTTTCAAGCAAAACTCCTTCTCTTTCAAATCTATTAATAGGGAAATTATTTCCAATCCACCCAATTGCATGGCTGATTTAACTGCTGTTGACTATATCTAGATGTCTTCTTTAGGATGATTTGAAATTGTGACAAATTCATCAAACCTTTTATCTAATTTTTCATTTAAAATGTGTAAGTTGACAAATATTTTTTTTTCAAAAGTTTCCAAGAAGGTTTTAACATTAAACTCATCTGAGTACCATCTGTCTTTTATATCTTGGGGGAGGGATTATAGAACATATATAAAGTATAATATTCAAAGCCCTTAATTTATTATTGCTTTCGTTTTATAAAATCCGAATCTCTCTTATAACCAAGCTTTCACAGCAGAATGTAAACGGTTCTTTTTCAAGGACCAAAAAAAGTAGATGTTCCATAACAAATTAACCACAGAAGAAGCTAAGATAATGATTCTGAGAGCAGAAAGTTTTAAAAAAAAAGAGGGGAAAAGGGGAAATTACCGTCATTTTAAAAATAAAAAGACAAGAATATATACAAAAGTAAAATGAAGCAAGAGAGTTCTTTTCGAAAAACTAGTAAAATACAAAATCCTTAAGAGTAAAAATCTGGTGTAAATCAGATCCAATCACTTTCACTGAAAAAAAAAAGAAAAGAAAAAAAAAGCACCCAATGGCACCGATTTCTTTGTGGCATAAGTATTTTAAAGCTCTGAAATAAGATGATGAAATTTTACATCTGTAATCAAGCAAAAGGGTATAGGCAAATTAGCATTCACCCAGGCTATTAACAATTAAGCTTCAAAAAGTGATATTAAAAACTGAGATGCGCTTAAAAATACAAACAGCTGCAGGAAAAGATGAAGACCCTCTGGCCGCTCTTATTGAGAGCTGCAGTCCTCTAGATTTCTCTTCCCAGGCAAGTACACAGTCATAGTGG